CGGTTCTCTATTACAGTTTTCCACAGTTGCCCAAGAGCATGGGTGAAATGTCCCCGAATAGTGCTACCGGGACTATTTTCAGGTGACCTGTCCAAATCCCAGCTTTGTATAGTTTTGTACCCACAGCATTTTTCTATAACTTTCTGTCAGTTCATCACTGTGATACAGCACACAGGGCCCAATTGAACACAGAACCCGATCGCATCACCACAAAAAGTTTAACCCAAGAAATCGCATGCATGCCACGCGTACTGCTTTATTTTATAATGAATTCTAAACAAAAAACTCTCAGAAATGGACAGCGCTTATGTTATTTATTGTTTTTTGTTGTTAGTACTACTATTAATTATAACCTTCAAGCGCTGCTTTCGGAAACCTTTTACTTAGGAAGTATCATAAAGGCCACAGATTTTACGGCCCATTTTTTTGCTTCAATTCACCCATGAGCGGAAACAATACAACCAAATCAGGCGTGGTTCATTTGTCATCCTCTTTTCCAGATGAAACGAGGTGGAATGAGTTCTGTTGGGTTAAGATGGGACTTGGACAGTTGCCTGCTGTAGCTCATTTCAACGCGGTAGTGCGGTAGTTAAAAAGAATATTTCTTGTTCGTTCACTTACAGGAGCATTCAACCCTTCCCAATTTGATCAAGCTTGATAGTCATAGCACAGCAGGACAAAGCAATCGTGCCATTACGCAAACAAATCAAGGAACGTCGGCTTTGGCCAGTTTCAGATACAACAGACTGGAAGTTCGAATTGCGCCGGAAAGGTAGTCCATGCCGAAACATCCGTTTATTCGATACTGAATACCATGGAATATAAAAGTCGTTCACCGATGGTGGTGACATTTTTCAAGGCAGGCTTTAACCCAATTGCGGCCAGAACTACAACACTAGAAGCGCACGATCTTTGAATGAGTTTTAAGGTGCAATTAAATGGTGAAGCAGCGTTATCAGTCGTAATCATATAAACTGCTTCAAACTGGCCATCACTTGACTAATTGTGATTAGCAGATTTCATCTTTCGAAAAGTTCTCATGTAACTAAGTTGTTTAAAACCCAGATGTCAAAGTGTAACCAAACATTTCCAACTAGGCAAAGTCCTGATGCAATAAAATCTAGGTCAATTACACAAATATTTGCCCTACCTTATTTATGCCTTCAAATCAACAATTTCAAAATCTGCTTTTAATTTGACAAACGCCCAAAGCTGCAACGGGGGCAATTCAAGCTGTTCAATCTTGTCAAATATGCTTGCCTAACCAGACCTCAATCACGTGTCGAAAACTGGTGTTGGGGGAAGGTGCAATCAGTTTTCTTAAATTTGCACTTAGATTCCCAAGACAACTCTTCTGAATTGTGTTCGTTCCCCGAACTACTAGACTCTTGGCGAATATACACTCATTTGCAAACTAATTTGGTTTTTCGAGAGACTCATCTGGAACCCAGCTGAATCTCTCAGTTTTGATGTGTCCAGGCAACTGAGTGTGTTGCAACATAAGGTTGCGCTCATAAGGTTGCTGAAAATCGGTCGACAGCCCACGACCGGTTTCGCCCTTTCTTGGGGCTCATCAGGTAGGTGCAGTCCCCAAGATTCCGTCAAACTTATGTTCTACTTGAAACCAAATTGCACGAAATTAGCGAATATACACTCATTTGCAAACTAATTTGGTTTTTCGAGAGACTCATCTGGAACCCAGCTGAATCTCTCAGTTTTGATGTTTCCAGGCAATTGAATGTGTTGCACCAGGCTGCGTCATGTTTCAGTAGACTGTTCCTCGGAAATTTTAAACGATTCCATCGCTTGCCAGGATAAATATCATCCGGAATCCTCCGAACCGCCTGAATTTCTGGTTGTACAGAAGTTTATACCTCAGTACCAGTGTAGCACCTTCATCTATGTAAAGTCCTACAGTTAAGTAACACTTTTGGAACCAAGTTATCAAACTGCCATCTGATCACAAGGTCAATAATGCATTGACTGACTGTGTAGAGTTCAAATCAGAAAACGTTTTTACCAGATTGTATAAACTTTAGTCAAAACTGACTGGACAGGAGAAGCGGATGTTAACTAAGCCGGAATTTTTACAACCATTTCACGTTGTTACTTGTCTACGATAAACATGGGTATATCTTCTATGCAGAAATACTGCTGAGTCAATCTTCGGGAAGTGTGGATTTTTTTTTTCAGTTCAGCAATATAATCACGGCAAATTTGCCAGTGTATTCGTCCTTTGTGGAGATCATTTGATAAGCTAACCTCCACCTGTAGAACAACACTGTTACTACATATCAGTAAAGTTGAGTATTGTGTTTTCTCTCCGAAAAAAATTCCACCTTAGAATCTCAATACCAACACCTGTCCTAGAATCACACACCTTATTGTCATGGTAATTAGTTAGACATCTGCAAGCGTCTTAGTTTCGATTGGAACTGAAAATCAGTTGGATTTAGTTTGCTTCAGAATCAGCTTGTTCAAACTCGCAACTGCAATGCAGTGAATTCGAAATAAATTTGACAGTAGTAGGCCGAGAAATTTCAGACTTCTGAAATACTGCTATACTCGCTCGCTATTCATGAGTAATATATTCAGAAACTGAGTTCTCAAAGTGCAGAACTATTCCTTATCGTGATTCTCTTGGCAGCACAAAACCAGTAAAAAGTGCAAGTGATGTTGTAACGAGTTTGGGCACGTCGGTCACAACCCGAGTGAGCACCCTAGCAGTAGGTCACATGCAATCGAAACGACAGACGAACGTTTCGTCGTATGAAACGTCCTCAAGTCACATTACTCTTCAGTGAAACACTCGACCTTCTCAATCTGAGTCACAAGAACAGATGGGAGACGGCAAGTGAGTTATGTTGACATTTATTTTACCTTCTTCATATTTATATTAGCTGGAAACATGGAAGCAAACGGAATCCTTGCTGCGTGGATTTGCAGAGACAAAAAAAGGAATATTGGGCGGGGCAGGATTCGACGGGGTGGAGTTGTTCCCTTGTGACAGTCAAAACAATGGATTCCTCCGCACGCTGAGCATGTGCACTTCTAAACGAGCTGGAACTTCAAGTTATGCATTTACAAAACTGTCCTGGAAGCGCTTTTGTCAAAAGTCTCAACGATATATTGCGCAATTGATAGTGCTGCATTTCGTACAATCGCGTGCAAGACTTTGTCGATTTGTTGCACGGGTCCTATCAACTGATTCGACGAAACAACTGGGAAATGTGTCATTTCAGCTAGGAGAATCGGGTGTCACCGCACTTGCAGCTTAAATGATTGGTGAGGTAAAATTGTGAATTTGTAAGCAACTTGCGGACCTGGTCAGAGAGCTGATGCTTCTGGAAGCAGAAAATAGATACTCAGGAGACAGTCAAAAAAGCATCATCGTTCCAGGTAAGACGACGTGTGAAATGCACTTTTTTTAAATGGTATTACGCAAGAGTGTGCGCGTCAGTAATCCTTTCGGAACAAAATACAGTTGTTTCTGACAGATGTTCCCATGTTCAACGCAAAAAGTGGTGTTTTCTTGTGGTACCAGACTGAATGTTGAGCTGCGTAGGCGTGTGGACCTAACGAGGAATCTTAATAGGAATAGCAAGATGAGGGGCATTTTTTATTTCCAGTAGGTGGTAATTTCATTTGTAAGTTTTCTTCGCCCTTGAAAAATTAACCAACTGCCTAAGTTGAGAAATCACTATTCAGAATTACTGTGATAAGCCCATGTCTGACGAACCTTAAGTGGTCTGAAAATATGAGTAGGATATTTGTCAACTATAGTCAATCCCACTGTACTACTTACACAGTGTAGGTGGATTAAAACACATTCCGCTTTAGGCTGCATATCTAAATCTGAATCTCACTTTGCGTTAGGTAATAGGATTTTGCAACGTCAGACATGTGGTGTATTCGCAGGCTTGACTACTCGCAAATATCAGAAACTGACAACCCTGATGTAACACGGTGACAACATGAATGTTTTGCCGAGCTTTCACGACATTAATTAATTTGAGAACCAATTATCATATGATGACCGGGGTCACCTGAAGAGTAACAGTTCTCCACTTTCTGAACACAGAAAAAATTAAAGTAAATCGTCCAGGTGATATAACCTTTCGGTGCACATCTGCCAAGCCACCCAAAGAACAAGGGCTGGAGTACTGCCGGGTTGTCCGAGCCCAGACAAGGGACGTCGAGAGGCAGAGGTCGGGTTCGAACCACGGACCTTCCGCTCAGTGAATTCGCGCTCTAAGCAGGGAAACATCTCTCCACAGTACTACAAATATTTACGCCCAGGAATTTCCTTACATCCGCGACAATGGGGACGCACCTGTATGAGTGGGTGTTCAGACAGATCTAAACATGACATGATTCCTAGAAAGAGCTATCTAACCATTCACATGATTGAGACACGGGAAAACGTGGACGTGGTGGGCCACTCCAGCATACAACTAGATATTGCTGAGTTTTTCCTGACCTCAAGTCTAAAAGTTGATTTCCCTCACATTCCCTTCAGCGAATGTAGAAGCGTGCTGTCGAGACAAAATAAATCATGTTCCAAATACCTACCTGAGGAAGCACTTTATCCTGGATCCAGCCTACCTTGAAGGTGGTCCGTGTTATGGCGTGATTGCAAATGGCGTCTATGTTGACTACTCATGTAATAGTGGTTTGTTTTTTCCGCGATTATCCATACCAGGTACTTGAGCGCTTCACAAACCATGTGACCTTGAAACCCATGGGGAAAGGCGGAAAACCACTTAAGATCATAATTATACGCAAAATTTAGTCGACATCCGATTGCTGCAATGGCCAAAATTAGTTTGTCCCGAATGTGTTCGACTTCCGCGGCCGGGTTGGTCAAAGGACACATTCTGACGTCAACTATCCGACCATATCGAACAAATGACCCGGTTTCCGTCTCATCAGTCCGTGATCCAGTTACCACAGTGTGTAGGTAGAACACTGCAAACGCCTTTTTCTCCATTACATCAACTTTACGGACATGGCCAAATATAGGCTATGTCCGTAATCGGACTACCAAGTGTGACTATCTATAAGAGTATGAAAAGAACTACCAAAACAACGTTGAAAACGGTTGTTGTGATCCCCCAACTTGAGTAAAACCAAAAGTTGGATTCTAGTGGTGTACTTATGTAAAGACTTGGTTTATACTAACGAATGTCGGGGAACAAAAGATAACGTTTAAGTTGCATAAGAACGCTGTTTGTCTTACTTGTGTCTGAAATTTAAGGCCGTCGAGGAAACTAGTGAGGGTCTCACTTCCGTTTTTTTATCTCCACTGCCTGACATTGAAGAGGATCCTAGCCTTGCTTGCAATCCAGAGAAAGTTTTCTTATGGTAAACACAGTTCTGTGCAAGCTGCAACCGGCGGATTTCAAGAAAACCAATGAGAGAAAAATATGCAAAGAAACGTACGGAACAGTGTGAATTTCATCGAGGTGCAGGTTAATCACACCGATGATCATCTTCAGCAAACATCAGGGAGTTTGAATCTCTCCCCGACAATTCATGAGGTGGGCACTGCTGATGATTCCCTGCATCAATGCTGTAGAATTCTCTTCGGCATTTCGGTATAGGTTGACTCCACCCACATGACTACTTCTCCAAAAAATGTTTCTAAACCTCCCTCAGGTTATTAACAATAAATTTGGCCTTCTGATGTTGAGGAAACCATTCTACATTTAACCTAACAAAATTATCCTTATAATTTCTGGCATTTTTACCACGACAACCGTCTTTTTACTCCCCTTGCTATTGATCGTGATTTCACATAAAAGCAGATTACTGTCATGCTTTTTCCGATTTTATAACACCCGCTGGAACTAATCGACACGGAGAAACAAAAAAGGCTTTTATATGTAAAGGGTGGTTGAGAAAGCTAGCGTCACCAAAGAATTTGTCCTATGCCTGCTTGATGACTTTTCATTCCTTGTTCGGCTGCCTTGGTCATTTTCATGCTGTCACTAGGAAATGAAAGACAAAGACTGAGTAGCGTTTCGAAATTAGCGTAACGATATTCTTGACGTTTGGAGGTATATATGACATTCGAGAAAGCAAGAATAAGCGTGTTGAAAATGGTGCGCAATTCCTGACCTAAGGGACTGTCTTGTGCAAATCCAGATGATCTTTGCAAGTTTCCGTTTTCCTAACGTAGTGAGGATTTTTGAGGGCGATAAAGAGAGTCTTCGGCAGAAAACATTACTTATAAGTTAAGTCTAATTATTGAGGACAACAATATTACTAAACGATCTTCTTAGGCAGCGGATAGACTACCACAAAAGGGAACATCCTCCCTGCTAGGTCAAATTAGGCTGCTCTACAGGAATAAGTCTTTAGGGAATCACTTATGTAGTACGAGAAAAAAGGAAAGGAGTATAGGGGTAAAGTGGCCGGGCTTACAGGCATCAGGGGCGCGAAAATAAAAGTTTCATGCAGAAAGTTAGGTTCCATCAAAGTTCCCAGTTCCTCCTGGAATGGTCCAGAAAAACATTCCACTCGTTTAGCCACCATGTACTGCTCGTTGATTCGGTATTTCTGAGAACGCGATCATTGGGGATAGGTTAACGGCATGCTAACCCTGTAGGATAGTATGCTTGTTTTTTGAGGAGCTCAAACCGACTGCAGTTGACGTGTTGCAGTACTGATGTATCACAGGCACTGCTCAACTGTCTTTGATGCGAATGAAAATGACAGACAGGAGCACCAAGAAGATGGCCAGCACCGCTTTCCATGCTGTTGACCTAGAGGCCTGGTTCATTTTACAAAACGCGTAGCAGATCTATCTCGGAGCAGACAAGTCATGTTAGGGGATCCAAAGGGAGGACTTCATGATAAAGCATACTGTTCACGAATTCAACTCATGCCCAGAATATAGTGCGACAAAATATACATATTTTTGTGTTACGCAACAGCGGTCCCTACGAGGACGGCCAGCACAGGACGCTACTTGCTTGTGGTCCGCATCCGGTAGGGTTTGCTGTTCAATCTAATCACAAAGAACCATCACTCTGGGGACACATTATTACTCTTTTGGTTGTCGTGGTCCGTCTTGTAAGGGTTATTTTGAAAGAAACCGTGAATTGTGCGTTGACTGCATTAACTAGATGAGTACGAGTAATAAAGTGATAGTCACTCAGAAGGCATCTGAAGTCCCATGGTGGGAGATATGGAATGTGGCTCAAAATTTTTAAAAATCGCGCCGACCGCACAAAAAACTTTTATTATTGTGTATAATGGTAAAAACGCAGTAGACAAGGGACCAGATTTTTTCTCAACACAGCAGTGGCATCAGAAACTTGTGATACGACTATATTGGGTCACTGTCCATTCAAAGAGCTGTCAAAAGGCCATAAACTCGGCAAGTTCCTGGTTTAGACATTCGAACAAAGCCTACTCTCTGAGAACAAATCTGGCAAACAGTGCTACTTGAGATACCAGACTTGGCTACGGGGTGACAGCTGCATGCATAGAGGAAGCATTTCAGTAACACAGAAAGTTTTCTAGTATTGAACAGTCATGGACCACCCCGATTTGTTTACGCACACTCGGGAGCTATTATCCAGAGATCCAGTAGAGTAAACGAAGGTTCGTGTCGACGGTATCTTGTATAATAGTGGAACATTGTCTAACGGTTGTGCGCATAGCTACTAAAACCGGCTTTTTTTCAATAGAATCACCCATCCCAAACCGATCCAAATCAATCACAAATGGGTAGAACAATTCAATCAGCCATCACCATTCCTCTGTCTTCTCCTTAAAGATACTCCCCGTCTTCAACGTATGCGATTTTGTAATGAACCTAGTTCTCATTCGGTTAGACTAAGGAAATTTGTCTATGCCTGGTCAGCTGGCACAAACGATGCAACAGATATCACGTCAACATCGGGCCACTGATGGGAATAGCCCCTGAAAAAAACATCAACGCAGCAAGCATGACCATCCGGGAAAGTGTTACCATTTGTTCCACAACGTCACAAAACCCGTGGCCAAAGATTTACTGTTGGGAACGGGTTTGATATATTTTGACCTACTTTATCATTACAAACCATTGGCAGAGTATAGAACCTGGCATCCTCTGTGCATAGCTGGAAAGTATCGACAACCTTGCTGTTCACTAGTCATTGCCAGGCATTCTCCTGTTTTCTAGCTACATACACGAAAGCACACCCTGAGATCCCATCAATTTGATATTTATTGATATTTTGTCTCACTTAATGATAGTCCATGCTGATTTACGACTGAGTACATCTATGTCTGTCGGCGAATAAAGCCATCGGTATGCTCTCATGAGCCGGAAGGCAGCGAACATCTGATCGAAACATCTGACGGTGGGACGAAATTCCAATTGAAGCTCATGACCAACCGCTAAAGCGATTGGTTTTATCGACCTTGTTGGGCGCGATAATGAAGTGTAGCAATCGTTCGAGCCTGGTTCTTGCAACAAAACGGTGCTGAGTTGCTCGCGTAACTAGTTGATGAAGTAGTTCTGTAAGCTTTGTAATTCCTGGTACGAGACTCTCTCCATCAAGGCTCTTGTTCTTTTCCAGTTCTGCTTGAACTGCAGTAATTTTCTTCACCGTATATGGTGTTGTTGCGCTCGGTGAAAGTGATGTAGTTTGTCCACACTGTTGCGTAGGAAAGACTAGGCTGAAATCTTCGTCTTAGGGAAAAGACGAAACTTTCGGTAGAGAAGAACAGTCTTAAACGAAAGCACCTACATTCACTATTGTTGTTCGCTGGCCCTAATCTAATTCTGTTTGCTTTTGAGGACTATATTGGGAGGTCGGTAACACAAATAGCAGTTGCTTTGTTCGCTGGGCTGGGTAGTTCTGATAATGTCGATATACTTGTTGTTACCACGAGTTAGACCCGATTATGACTGGATAGTCCGTTAACCTGGTCAACGTCACCGTGAACTTTGAGCTCTACCTCTCCTGCTAGAGTGAGCCCTGTTCAATATTTCTCTGGGCCTCACCCTGGGATCTTTGCTGTTATGCCTCTAACCGGGTTCCTCTTGGCTGGTCAATCCGATAGCTAACTCTGGTTCAATATTTCGGTTAAGATTTCGGTCTCTCGCAATGAGGGGTACAGAGACTGGGTTTAGATTGACTTGTCAACTGACTGAAATCGTCCGGGTATACCATGTTTTCAGAATCATGATTCTTTGGAGTTCGAAGTGAGTAATTTCCCCGAGATAGCCAGAGTTCTGTTCTATGGCACACATTTAGCCTCGCAAGATAGAGTGTGTCATGCAGCGCGACATATAACCAGAGAAGGACCACTATTTTAGTTCATTGTCACATTAACTGACTATCACCCTAATACGGCAGAAGTGCATTAACGAGCTTGCCGTAGAATCCCATCAATATGTTACAATCCTAAGCATTAAGTGCATCAAATGAGTCGACCCAAATGAGGTAACCACCCAACGACTGTGATAAAATAAAGTTGTATTTGTTTACGTAATCCATTTTTGTATGTGGGCCGAGTTACCGCCAGAGCAAATATCTATTTCACCACAATAAATTCAATCGTCCTGCTTATTTACAGGTTTGATTTCCAGCGACACATGGCGGATTACTATCGGTTGCATTCAAATGTGAACAATGAAGCGTCATCCTGATCATTCGATTCTAACCCTCATTTTAACATGCCAGCATCTGTGGAGAGGTTTAAGCCTATTGCAAATGCCACACAGTTATTGTTAATCACGTGACGTAACTAGTTATGTTTCCCGATTCCCCAGACTAATTTGTTACCCTTCCGTTGACTGTTCAAGTTTCAAGACTGAACTATTCTATTTTGTACAGAGCCGATTCTATATTAATCGTTTTCATGACTCGATTTCATTCCCGTTCATTTCTGGAGCTGTTGTTGAGGATTTCGTCTCATTTTGGACTGCACAACGTTTTACCGCTTACTTTGTTCGATAGCACGCTGCCCTTTCTGTGCCATCCTTTGTTGCTAACTTCCAAAGGTTCCCTTTATTTCTGCTCATTACTGACTGTTAATTCCTTATAGAACTCTGGTC